GATAAAAATGGAATTGTTTGTCTCCTTACCTTCACATGCCATGCACTGGTATGCAAACGTGATGGTAGAGAAGTTCTGAACTGAAATACCCAGAGAGGGATGGGGTTTCTCCAGTGTTTCCAGGGGAGCAGGTGACCTCTTTCTTTAGGAAGGCAGGAAAGCTGGGAGGAAAATGCCAGCAAATTTTCTGCACATCACTTTTTGCCTAAAAAGAAAACCAAAACATATTCAGGGAAAGAATTCCTGAGTGTCCTGTGAAGCCCATTATAAATAAATGTGATTTTACTCATCTATGACATTACACAAAAAACAATTTTCTGCTTTCCAATCCGCACCATGGGTTATGTGATAAACTTCATGAAATGAAGACTGCCTACTGAACAAAATGTTCATTTCTAAAAGTAGCCTGGTTTATATCACCACTTGCAGGGTTTAAATCTCTGTGTTTTCACATGTTCTCATAGGAATGAACTCACTGGATGCTGATTAGCCTGTGTCACTGCAGAACAAAGTACCATTTTTGTGCTTGCTTTATTTTCCATGGAAAATCGACAAGGCAGTTATTGCAAAACTACTTATTTTGCTAAGGTGGAATTGAAAAGAAATATATTTTCAAGCCTGGCTGACTTGCTGCCAAGCTGGCTGAGTAAAAAGCTAAGTTGTGGATTAGCAGACAGGAAGCAAGAAGGAAGGAACACATGCTTGGGCTTGTAAGATGTGACACATGTCAGGGATGAAGTGAAGATAAATCCTTATCCTTATTTCTCAACTAAGCACAAATCTTAAAAGTAGTATCATCATAGCCTACCAGAGTAGTTTGGTATCTTGGTAGCAATGGTAATAAACACATACACTTAATCAATTGCCCAATGCCACATTTGATCTACGTGCAGCGGGTATCACAAACAGTCTTTGTAGTTGGTTCTTGCTGGTATCTTCCAGATATCCTGGAAAAGCAATTGCATTTTTCATCCCAGAGTGCACCAAGAACCTTGACAAAAGCCTCCCACTGGGAAGCAGCAGGTGCTACTGAGAGAGACTCATTCAGAAAGCAAGAGTTGGCAGAAATAATGTAACATCTATTACACTGAAAGTGTCTTTTCTTTAAGAACACCTGCACTATCCACTCCAGCATCTCCTGCAGCAAGGTATAAATGCAGACACTTGCCAGTGATGCTGCTAGGTGAGCTGGTGCGTAGCTTTAAACTCTTGTTGCCAGCAAGATGAATTAAATATAAAGCTTCTAAGATATGGTATTTTAAAATACCATATCTTGTATTGGTGCATAGTTGAGGTTACTGTGTCATGTTAGACACACACACACACACACACATATATATATATTTACTATTTCTAGTCTTGCTGGAGCATTTCTCTGTTGAGAAGGAAGATGAAACCAAAAGGCCTCTATCACAGAGGATGAAGACAGAAGGATTTGAGATCCTCTTTCTGCCACAGAGGCAATTACCTGGTGCAGGAGGAGGTTTGCAGGGCAGAGGATTCCCCATTTATTGCTCTCTTCTCTAGATAGTAGGAATTGTGTCCAAAGACATGGAAGAAGAGGGCCTAAGAGAAGGAGCTGTGCTTGTATAGGACATGATCCTCTAGCACAGCCAAGTGAGCTACTCGCTGTTTAATCAGGTTGATGCAGACTGATTGATTTCCTGCTCTTCCCTCTGTTTCAGGGCACTACGATGCTCGAGCCAGGGTTTTGATCTGCCACATCACCTGGCTGCTGAGAATCCCCTTGGAGGAGCTGGAAGTCCTGGAGGAATCTCTGCTTGAAAGCCTGAAGGAACAAAAAGAGGAAGAGTCAGAGTAAGAGCATGTGGGTTGACTATGGGATGAAAAAACACTGTGCTTGAAAGCTCAGCAGTAATCTCTTGTGCCTAAGTCCAGTCTCTGATCATTCCCCTCTGATCATACACTGGCTCTTAGCTTAATCATTTATGGCTTGATTAGGGTTGCAGAGCCCTCACAGCATTTCAGCTGCACTGAGGAGCAGGGAAGGCTCAGCCTTCTTATAATCTGAGCTGAGACCCAACTGTGCAAGCTGGTAGAGGCCACTACACATTGAACTACCTCATATCCTTGTTCCAATTGCCTCTCCTAGACTGTAGAGTCTTGTATCTCATCTCTTGTCCCAGTATTCTTCAGGTAGAACTGCCTCTTGCAGAATGAAGTTCCTGAAATATGAGGGTTAGATCCTCAGCTGCTCATTTCCTATGGATCTGTCCTCTGTGCCTGTTTAAGAGAGGGCAATAACCTGCAGCTTTAGATACTTGCAGACCTGACTCCTAAGTCTGTGTTATTCATACAAGATTTTTTCTCCAGATCACCACTTTTTAGATGTGAAACAGCCAAAACGTTGTTGGTATCTATAAGAAATGTAGTATTTGTATATTCCACTCATCAGGCAGGAACTGTGCAAAGGTTTAGCAATATGTAAGGCAGTAAATATGTCAGTAGTGGACTTTCCAAGGAATCATTGAATATTTTTTCTGTCAGCTCAGAAAACAGGTTATGAGATTAACCTAAGTGCTAATAACGGCTTCAATTATTTAAATAAAGCTTAACTTTATAGCACACTGTAAAAAGGGAAAGTCAGAACAATCTCAGAGATCATGGACTGCTGACCAGGACACCATTTAGCATGCCAGGAGCAAGGGTTGCCATTAATGGGGACTGTTTTGCTGTGGCTTGTGGAAACAAACTCAATCCTGGGCCTTCAGCACAGCAAAACCCCGATGCTGAGGGTGGTAATTCTGTATTGACTGGACTGTGGCTGCTGTAGCACCCAAAAAGTTAACAGTGTGTCTGATAATGGCAAGAGAAACTGGTGAATTATGCTGCATACTTACAAACATGGCTTTCAAGCAGTGCAGCTAGCCCCAGCGGGGTTTGTGCATGGTGAAAACTACGGGTTTCACTCGTGTTCTTTGCCCAAGTTGCAGCCATGGAAGTAAATAGCCATTAGATAAGAGGAAGAAAACATCTTTATAGCGAGAGTCCGTTACTGCAGTGCTAAAACAAGGCAGAGATCTGTGGGGACTCAATGACCCTTTGCTTGTTTTAAAGTTGGGAGTCAATGGGGAGTCAATGAAATTCCACCTATAAAGTCTCTCTGAACATAATTTGTGCTCCAGGCAAGAGGCTGCACCACCAAGATCACTGAGGGTAGAGAAGTACAAGCAAAGGCAATTAATTACCACAGTGGATAAAAAGCAGTCTGGTAATCAAGGGATAATTGTAATGCAGAAGCTATTAGGAAAGCAAAAACAGTTGCCAACAGCTACAAAAGGAGAGCAATGGCAGGTAAAACTCCTCATGGCGGTGGTTTTACTTACTGCATCTTCGGGCAGGATTTAGCTGCAAGCTATCTTTATACTAACACAAATTGCTCATTATTGCAACTCAAGCTGTATTTCAGCTCTCTGCATGTCATTATTTTCAGCCTCAGACAACAGCACGTTGACTATAAAAGCTGATGAACCCCTCTGCAGAACAGAAATTGCTGGATATTGCCAACTTAGGTATTAACAGACTGCAGCACTCCTTTAAAGAACACCAGGAGTGATTTCTTCCAAAGCCAGCATTCTGATGGGGGAGTGCATGCACAAACCAGGGCACGTCCAAACTCCCCTTTGACCAGGGGGGTGTAGAAAGTGAACTTAGTTAAACAGAAACTGCAGAAGAGGTACCACTGCAGGCTGCAGTGTTGTGCTCTGCAGACAGTTAATGTCTGCAGCTGCAGAAGGTAATACATGATGGAGGCTTTTCTGGAGGATCTCTGTGGAGACAAAGTGCTGGTGCCATGCAAGTCAGTGGGAGCTCTGCCGCTGACTTCAGCGACGCAGGGATTTCACCCACTGTGCTCCATTCTCCTCCTGCTGTGCTGTACAAAGCTGTGTATTGTTTGGGACTCGTCTCAAATTGTCTTTATCAAAATTACAGTGTGCTTAGGGGGTTCCAGGAGGGATTAGGCAATTATATGGATAATGAAAATCCACAATTAGGCTAGGATTAAGAGGGAAAATATCCAAGTTTGGAAGCAAGATAAATTCTCATGTTTCAAGGCCCAGATTAACCTCTGCATAAACAGGCTGGAAGGAACCTTCCTCTGTAAACAACTTATTCCAGTCCTCTCTGGTTCTTGCACTTTCCTCTGAAGAGGGAAGCATTGCTGGTAAGAGAAATGTAGCTTAAATGCACACAGACAAATGAACTACTGACTGTTTAATACCTATTCTATTATTACATTGTGATGTGCAATTAGAAACCAGCTCAATATACACACTGTTGCTGGGAAATAGTTCAATTCCATGTTTGTTAGTGCAAATTCCCCCTATTCCCTTTTGTTCCAAACACTTTTCCCTGTTCCCAGTTCACTTTCTCGTGTTATTTTGATACATAGGCAGTACATGTCTTAAATACAGTTCATATCAATATAGTTTTGAAATGGCTTTGACTTTTTGTTTCTTATTTCTTGCAAGCTTCATCCCTGTTAGGAAGGGTTTTCCAAGTAAGTAACATCTGTTGGCTTTTGTCAGCAATTAAATGCTTTCAGTTTACATCTGTGGGTTTATGTCCATGCTCATGAATCTGAGTGTGTTGTCACAGTCCACACCTGCATGTTACTTTTTACTGTTCCCAGTTGGGAAATTACACTGAGGAGAATAAAAGCAGGTTCTGATGCAGCACTGTCATCCATCAGGCTTTTCCATTAGTGTTTGTGATTCTAATCCCCATCCAGAACTGCAGAAGCAGCAAGAAAAAAGAAGGAAAGAAGGAAGAAGCTGAAGAGGTACCTGCTGATCGGTCTGGCAACCGTCGGAGGCGGCACAGTGATCGGTGAGGCTGCCCCAGGCAGTTTGGAGACCTGCAGGCCTGAACTCCATGCACAGCACTAGGGGCAGAGAGGGGAGGGTACGACTGATTTACACATCCAGCAACAGAAACCATCGTGTCTTTGAGCCCCAGCTCCAATTTTAAAACATTCACTGCTTTCCTTTGCCGAACTGAAGGCAGCATCTTGCTTCAGATAGCAAAAACCCACCCAAGCAAGCAACCAACAACAACACCCCCCCCTAGTAACAGAAGAAACCCCAAATCCAAGAAAAGTTTCAGCCACACGACTCTAAAGAGGAAATAATTAGCTGGGAAAGTTATTCCAGGGTAGATTCACTGGCTGGGGGAAGTAGTAAACCAAGGCTGTCGCCCTTAAAACATGTTTTCTCCGCTTTCACTCTTATCCTCTGTGTTATAAAAGGATCGGATCTTCAACTCTCAATTCAGAATGGTGTGAGACTAGATCAGTATTTCCTAAGCAAACAGGGCACAGCTCACCCCAGGCTACCTCACATTCTTCCTTTGACTTTCATTTCTGCTGAAGTCAGCCAAAGAATCTGTGCAGAGACTTAGGGCCTGGGGAGGGTCTCAAAAAGCCCCTTTATCGGTGATGCCCAAAAGACCATCATCTGTCCTTCTTCAGTAGCATTAGCAGCACTCGCACAGCACAGGGAGTTGACTGCCTGGTTTTTAGAAGTCATAATAATCTAGTGATGTTACTTGTTGCATCTTCAGGCTTGACAGGGGGTCTTGCTGCCCCTCTGATTGCTGCGGGAGCTGCTACAGTCATTGGAAGTGCTGGAGCAGCTGCTTTAGGTTCAACTGCTGGAATTGCTGTCATGGCATCGCTTTTTGGAGCAGCTGGAGCTGGTCTTACTGGTAAGAGAGTGACCACACATTTCTCAGCTACTGAGGCACAGGATCATAGGATCATAGAATGGTTTGGGTTGGAAAGGATCTTAAAATCATCCAGGTCTAACACCCTGCCATGGGCAGGGACACCTTCCACTAGAACTGTGCAGCTCCTATTGACCAAGGAGGAAAAGAATACTTGGTATGTGGTAATGAAGGAAATGAAAGCTTGCTGCTCTGGGTTAGAAAGATGCTGCCAGAGAGCGTAGTAGCTCCTGCACCTGATGTCTTGTCTGCAGCAAAAAAGCCTTCTGCTGGTGTTGCCTCAGATCACACAAGCTCAGAAGGTTCATGTTGGCTCCCTACCAAGCTCTAAGTAATGCATGGACTGGCTGAGGGTTTTGGAACCCTATCCAAGTCCCTCTGTACTTCTGCTGTTAGCAGAGTCTGTCCTTGCTGTGTGGTTTCTCAACTCATGTTTCTGCATTGCTGTTTGTAGGGTATAAGATGAAGAAGCGTGTGGGAGCCATAGAAGAGTTTGAATTCCTCCCACTTACTGAAGGAAAGCAGCTTCACATCACCATAGCAATTACTGGTTGGCTGTGCACGGGCAAATATGGTAAGAACAAGATGAGAACACCAAGAAAAGCCTGAGAGCCATGTCTGGGTCCCACTCCAGGCAGTGTTTGTGCTCTTGTAGCCATGGCTTCCCCACTCTTGCATGGCCTGGTGACTAAAACAGATCAACACTCAACACTAGACTTTGTAACCCAGTCTGCAATCCCAGTTCAAACAGAGGAAAGGGAGAGGACACTAAGTTGGTAGTGACAGTAGGAGTGACAGAGCAGGACTGTTTGTGTGGATAAGTGCAGTATGGTTTTGCTAGGAGAGGTCTGTTTGGGGTGGATCATTTCCAGCACTAGTACAAAGTGTCTCACCTATCTGGGAGACCTTATGTTTCTCCTCCAGTAATTAACAGAAAACAGCATCTTTTTTCTGTCTCAGTGTCTGCCACCTAATGAGCTTTATTGGCAAGAAAGTTCTGTCAAGTACACCCTGTTAAACACAACACTCAGGAGCTGAACTTCCAGGCAGCAACCTTGAAAGGTCTGTAGTGTTTTGTTTGCCAATAGAGCTTGTCACATAAAATATGCCAACAGTCTGCTGATATATTCAGCAACCTGACTGAACAGCTGCCAGTTTCTTCCAAAGCCTCATAATTAACACTGGATATCATTAATGCAGAAAGATATCTCTGTCCTCCCCCTTGTTAGGTCGCAGCTTGCTGTCACAGTAAGGTTATTTTCACTTTGCAGTACTGTGCTTTGGCTCCTCTCATTGACTGCTTGCCAGGGGCCCGAATCCTCAGGGTTGGAGGGTTCCCAGGCACTGTTACAGAGACAAGTGTGTCCCTTCAGGAACCTTTTGGTGTCTCTTTGCCCTTAAAAGGGAGTTACAAATGACACACATTCTTCTTCCATAACTAGCAATCTGCTATAATGTTTTCAAACGCAAAACGAGGACTGTCATCCCTTTTCCTCCTTACAGCTGTGTCTGTCTATTTACACACTCCCATGACTCCTTAGAACAGGGGCTGAGGATGGGATTTTTAGGGAATTCACTGCCTTGTGAGCTTTGAGCTCCCAGAAGCTGCCTGTCTGGATGTTCACAGAGCTGGGAGTATGTTGTGGTGTGATGTGGCGTGGGGCTCCCTGCCCTGCATCCTTTGGGGAAGGAACAGTGTGGGAAGGGGGTTAATTACTTAAGATTAAAACTCTGTTCTGCCCTTCGGAGTTCATCTGCCATTAATAGCACTGCCAGATCTCTCCTGGCCACTTAGTCCAAGCTACACTACATCAGGAGAGACAGTACAACTTAATTGTTCTTTCAGGCAAAAATTAGACTTGCACAGTGGAAATCATCCATTATCTCTCAAACATCCAGGTACTGCTTTTGAGTGGCACCTGGAGGGAAGAAACCTCAACTGAAGCAGCTAACTAGGCTGGATGGCAAAGTAAAACTAACTGCAGTCTGGATGTGCTTTGTTTTCCGACAGGGCCATTGCTGCAGTCCTTGCCCACCTCATTCAAGTGCTGGGAAGATGCTCTGCAGTGCATTTTGACAAGATCTTAGTATTTTCCATGCCCCTGGTCCCATTGAGCTCAGTCCATGCAGCCATTCAGCACTCACCTTTCTCAGGACAGGCTCTCCTTTGGCCTACATGAGAAGGTGGAGCTGCAGGACTCAGCCTGATGTCTGATGATAGGAGGAATGTCATTAATACCTGACATAATTAGTGTTAATGTCCATCTGTCTTGGCAGTCTCTGAGTCAATTGAATGGGCCGTGAATTCTGTGCCTGTCCATGCTGAAGCCTCTTTGCCAAGGCAGCTCAAGCTGCACAATTATTTACACAGACCTAAACCAGTGCAAATAGAGAGTCTAAATCTTTCCTTTTAAAGACGACTCCTGATTTTCACAGTAGATCAGTGCATTCCAGTGCTTAGCAGGTTCTTTTCTGATTCTCTGTTGGGCTCATCCAGCCAGGATGAGCTCTTGTAGCCATGGCTTCTGACATGACTTCCAGGAGTCAGCCACTGTTGTGCTTTCTCTGACCACGGATTCCATCTTTGCACCCTTCCTCAGGGAGCTTCACAGCACCATGGAGCAGCATGTTGCAGTCGAGCGAGCAGTATTGTCTGGCCTGGGAATCCAAGTACTTGATGGAGCTTGGCAATGCCTTAGATACCCTGCTGAATGGGTTTGTGAACATGATGGCTCAAGAAGCCCTCAAATTCACTGTCTTGTCAGGTAAGGACCTAAATCACATCAGATCTGCTCGAATGGCTCTCGTGCAGTTTCACTGTTGGTTTCTGTTGAAAGGAGTGGCTGAGCTCCTTCTCCGCCACACCTGTAGTCTAGATTTGCTTTCCTGTCCTGCTCTGCCCCAGTGTCATTGACTCATTCTTTTAAAATGACAGCTGGAAACACCTTCCTTGACGTGTGACTGTGTTTATTTCTCTATGTTATTACACTGGGGTTTACTGCTTTACATAAAGCTTTCAGACATGCAGGTTACATTCATGCACAGTGTCTGTCTCCGTATCAGAACATCAGCTGCTTTCTTATCTTTCATCTAGCAAAACATTGCTCAGATCAGCTCTTGGGAAAGAAGAAACTGGAAAGGACAGCAGGTCCCAGGTTTAGCTTTCAGCTTAGTGACCTGTCTTGCTTTTGGTGTTTCCTAAGAGCAGCCCCGATTCGTGACTCTGCTGTGCTGTTTGCTTTGTGTGTGGCAGGTATTGTGACAGCTCTGACTTGGCCAACCTCGCTCCTGACTGTTGCCAGTGTCATTGACAACCCCTGGGGAGTGTGTCTCCATCGCTCTGCTGAAGTAGGCAAGCACCTAGCACATATCCTGCTCAGCCGACAGCAGGTAACTGGTTAGAAATGACCCAGCAGTAGTGGCTGGAAGGGATGTGGCCCGTGGAGGTTGAATTTTGGAGTCATGCTCCTTAACTCTCAAGTGATACCTTTCCAGGGACATAAAAAATAATATTAATATGAAAAAATGCTGCATGAATCTGGTTCACTGGGGGAAAATAGGAGATCCCAAGTAAATCAGAGCAATCCTGCTAAGATTTGTACCATTTAACCTGAAGATTTTCTAATGGAAGAAGAGGAGATCCAGGTCATAAATGACAAGAGACTGGACCAGCTCCCAAAATAGCCAGGCCAACACACCTAGTAGAAACCTGAGAAAGTAAAGATAGGTGAAAAGGAAAAGAGAATAAAGAGTGTTAAAAATGCTTCCTGATAAATACAAGGATTGGCAACATACTTGATTTCATACAAGCCCTTTGATTCACTTGGGGGCATTTGTTACTGCCTTTTAAGCATCCTCTGTTGTGAAAACACACATTCCAGTGCTGGGAGCATCTCAAACTAGTTAGCATGATGGCTAGAGAGTCCATTGCACACCTACTCCCTCCTTAACACAAAGAGGATTTTATGTTCTTGTTGAGATTAGGCTCCTTTTGATCTCACAGAAAATCTCATTAGCTTACCCCACGTCATGTTCAGAACAGCCACACAGTGCTGCTGTCACTCAGTCTGAAGTCTAGAAGTGGCCAATATCTTTGTGTTACACCTGCTTCTTCTTCTGTTTACTGCAACATTCCCAGGAAGAGTTTGCTCCTTGAATTAGGCTTCCATTTGGAAGTCTCAAACCAATGACAGCTTCTGGGTGGTTTGTTTGAAGCATCTGCTTTATTGTAACTTGTGATCACTAGATTCTTTCAGTTGATTTTCTGAATAGCAAAAAGATATCAAAGTGTAAGTGTTTTGTGTATCAGGGTCTTGGGATCTGGTGTCCAGTCTCCCTTTCTGGTTCTAGAATAGTATTTGATGGCATTTCCTCCTTTCCTTCTTTCTTAGGGCAAGCGACCTGTCACACTGATTGGCTTCAGTCTGGGTGCAAGAGTCATTTACTTCTGCCTGCAGGAAATGGCTCAAGAAAAAGGTAAAATTCACCTTCTGATCTTTTTCACCTTCATTTTCCTCACTGCCAGTAGAGAAGGTTTTCTTCCAAGAGAATCCCAGAATCCCAGCCTGGTTTGTGTTGAAGGGACCTTAAAGCTCCTCCAGCCCCAACCCCTGCCACAGGCAGGGACACCTTCCACTAGAGCAGGTTGCTCCAAGCCCCTGTGTCCAACCTGGCCTTGAACACTGCCAGGGATGGGGCAGCCACAGCTCCTCTGGGCACCCTGTGCCAGCGCCTCAGCACCCTCACAGGGAAGAGCTGCTGCCTTGTGTCTACGTAAGAGGAAAATTTCTTCAAAACAGAGCTTGGGTCTTCTATGGTAGGACAAAAACCTTAAACTAAAAGGTTTCGAAATGCATTTAGAGCCCAATCCTACTGTCACTTCCACAAGTTCAGTGGATGAAATCCACTGTGCTCACTCGAGGCGCTCAGTGTGTCAGTTTGGTCTCCAGTCTGTAAACAACAACTTGACATTTTGTGACATTCAGCTGCTGGATCAGTCTGTGAGCTGCCCACATGATGCTGTGATCTTGGCAGAGGATGGTTTGCCTTTATTGGAAGCTCTCTGTAGCTGTTGTAGCTGATTCCCTGAGTCCTCCCTTCCATTTAAGTCACTGAAATGCCACTGTCATCTGCTATTTTCATGGTAATTTTTCCCCAAAGTCAAGTATAAAACCATCTGTCAATTTATTACCCATTGTGGTTCTGTTTATTAATAGATTCTATTTTTGATTTAGAAAGAGAATAAAATCATGATGATCAGTTGATGTAAATTGCAACTTGGAGTTGAGTCAGTAGTGAGTGTGTGCCTGCAGCCTTCCCCTTCTGTGGCAATTTAATTCATCAACCAGCCAGCCTCACAAAGAGTCCCTAATAAACAAAGAGCTTTATAAAGGAAAATGTTCAATAAAGGCCAAGAAGGTGGGAATAGAGTCAAGTGAGGACAGAGCAGGTCAGCAGTTTCTCTCTTGACAGCTGTGTACCAGAACTTCGCTTCTGGTTTCAGATGTGAGCCTTCAAAAACAGGAATTCTGGCCTCAAAATAAATCTAATCAAATCCAGAATGATCCTAATGGAGTTCTCCCAAAGCCAGAACCCAGATCCTAATCTGGCCCTAAATCTACTCTTTTTGTGTCCAGAGAATGCCAGGGGCTGGGATATTTCCAGGTTTTTATTTAATGGTGTGCAGGCTCTCGCTGGAATAACGGGCTGTAGCTAAGTACTGCAGGAAGGGGAATCATTAGGAGTCTTTAAGGTTGGCTGCCATTCTAAGGGAACCTTACATTGTCGTTGGGTATCACAGCAGCTCCCCACTGCACACTGAGTTTTCAGTTCCTTAATTGAATTATGAAAGCTGAGCTGCTGGTGAGATGAAAAGCAGCACGTTCAGTGCACATTGCCAAGGCCTTCTTCACATGCACATTCCAGCACAAGCCACAGAAGGAATGGAGCTGGGACCTGGAACATCTGCGACTCGTTTGGGTTTGGGCTTGGATGTCTCACACAAAAGGAAAACAAGGCCTAGTCAGGCAGCCTTTTGTATCCAGATGGCAGTGGCATTTCTGAGGACAAGTAACAGCGTGGATTATCCAGTGGCAGAAACTCAGATGCTGTTAAAAGAAAACACTCTTCTGCAAAGCAATGAAATAACCTTTGGGATTCTTAATCACAAATGACTTTGGAAGCCAGAGCTCAGGACGTGTTCAGATAACAGCATTATAGCAGAAGATGTAGCAAAGACCCATCAGAGACAAGTTACTGCAGGGGGGGGTTATTGGTCATGTTTCTTCACCACAGTTCACGTGCATTTAGTGAATAAGAAGTGTGAACTCTTGAAAATTGCTGTTAGCACCAGAACCTGCACCTTGAAACCAGGCTGGGTGAGGGGTCACCCGGTGCTGATTTGTCTGATGCTGAAGAAGCTCTTCCCTGTGAGGGTGCCCAGAGAAGCTGTGGCTGCCCCATCCCTGGCAGTGTTCAAGGCCAGGTTGGACACAGGGGCTTGGAGCAACCTGCTCTAGTGGAAGGTGTCCCTGCCCGTGGCAGGGGTTGGAGCTGGATGAGCTTTAAGGTCCCTTCAACCCAATCTTACCAGGTTTTGATTTTTGCCCCTTTTCTTTTTCTTCATTTTCCTGCTTGTGCAGCCTTTACTGTTCTTCATCACAGAACAGATTTGCAGACTGGGAAAGAGAGTGTCAGCACTGTAGAGGTCAGTGATCTGTTCTCAGCTGTTTGTCAGCATTCAAAGAAAATGTGTATGTTTCAGGCATTGTCGTTCTAAGCAAGAAAGAAGCTGTACAAAGCACTGGAGAAACAAAAGCTTCCAATACCTTGCCCAGATGTCCAGGATGCTGTGTGTTTATTCAGTTGGTTCACGCTGTGGCCAGGGAATTTAGTACCTTGGTTGGAACAAGCTCTCCATATGAGAGGCTTTGGGTTTCTTTTCTTTTTGGTTAAGCTCTGGGTGTCTTTTTCATTGCCCATGATTATGGGAACAGGACTTTATTGCTCACAGGTTACACTAACAAAATGGAATTGCTCTTTGCTGTTCTCCATTGTGGAAAATTTGCTTTGCAATAAGAATAATACCACAAGAGCTCTTTTGGATTGTTGTCAGGTGCTGGGATTTACACTGCAGAGAAAGACCCAGGCACTGCAGGCAGCTCCAAGTCCTTTCCTGCTATGAGGGAAAGGAAACCAATTGATCTACATGTAAAAAGCCAAGCCAGGCAGCACCTCCCCATCCAAACTTGAGGTGCTGTGCACTCATTGCCAGTCTCACATCCCCACAAACTGCAGCATACTATCTTACAGCCTGCAAAGGCAGCCTGGGAATGGTTTGGCTCACAGCTTGTGAGTGCTGGGCTCCCATGGGTGGAGAGTATGGATTTGGCATGCTGTGCCCGTGAGTCTCCAAGGACTGTGATTTTCATTTAGGTCTATGGTATCACTCTTGATCTCTCTTTACCAAGATGATTTATGAATAGATATTAATATATTAGATGGGATTTTAGGAAAGTAGCAGAGCTGCCCAAGATTTTCATTCAATCATGATTTCTACTGGAATTCCCCAGCTGCAGCTGTCTCATAAGAGGAAGATTTATTATGCTTCAAAGTCAACATTGCTTTTCAGCAAATCATGCCCTGGGCATCCAGGTTAAAGTGCTCTTCAAGAAAATCAAACAAGTTTGATAGATTGTCAAAGTGGGTCTGGGGAGACCCTCCCTGCATCCTGCATCCAGCTCTGGGGAACAGCACGAGAGGGACATGGAACTGCTGGAGCGAGGCCAGAGGAGGCCCCGGAGCTGCTGCGAGGGCTGGAGCAGCTCTGCTCTGGAGCCAGGCTGAGAGAGCTGGGCTGGGGCAGCTGGAGAAGAGAAGGCTCCTGAAGGGGAGACCTCAGAGCAGCTCCAGTGCCTAAAGGGGCTCCAGGAAACCTGGAGAGGGGCTTTGGACAAGGGCCTGGAGGGACAGGACAAGGGGAATGGCTTTAACCTGCCAGAGGGGAGACTGAGATGAGCTCTGAGGCAGAAGCTCTTCCCTGCGAGGGTGCTGAGGTGCTGGCACAGGGTGCCCAGAGAAGCTGTGGCTGCCCCATCCCTGGCAGTGTTCAAGGCCAGGTTGGACACAGGGGCTTGGAGCAACCTGCTCTAGTGGAAGGTGTCCCTGCCCGTGGCAGGGGTTGGGACTGGATGAGCTTTAAGGTCCCTTCCCACACAAACCATTCCTGGCCACTTCGCTCTCTTCCCATCAGTCTGCCCCCTTTTACTCTGTCAGGATTTCTAATTTTCCCATTTACTGACTCCAGCTTGAACTGCAGACACAGAATTTATGCAGAATGATGTTCAAGATCCTCCTTTCCACTGCTCCTGTCTTTAAACCACAGAAGTGATGGTTTTTCCATAGTACACATCAGAACCTACCCCCTCCTTCACGGATGTGTAAAAATACATTTCCTGATCTGTGTTCTAATTCTGAACTGTTCCACTTTCATCTCAACAGACTTCCAAGGCATCATTGAAGATGTGGTCTTACTGGGAGCTCCCGTGGAAGGAGATCCCAAGTACTGGAAGCCTATTACACAAGTGGTGTCGGGCAGGATCATAAATGGTTACTGCAGGTCTGTACATGCTTCATCGTCCTGGTGTCACTTTGACATGATTTCATACATTTATCTTTTCTAAACATTGTGTGAGTGAGTATTTGCTTCAGTAGCACCAGAGACAGCAGTGCCAGAGCCTCTTTGTGCCGAGGGTCTCTCCCTCAGATCAGTTGGGATGACAGTTTTCAGGAGACACCTGAAGGCTGGTCTGTGTCCAGCTCTCGGCCCTCTTTGATGCAAAGGAAGCCTGAAGTGCTCAGTATGTGTGTCCTGTTTGTACAGTGGCAGCGTTACATCAGCTTAAAGCTGGGTCAGTGTGTTTGTGTGCATCATTTGATGTGTTCAAAGACCTCTTTCAATCTTATCTTTGTGTAAAGGACTGTAAATACAGCCCTTTGGTTCACTGACAGTTAAAGAATGAGAACTGAAATCTATGAAAGCTTTGACATACAATTCACCAGGGACTGCCAGTGGGGAGCAAGCTGTGCAAGTTGCAATGGGAGGGAAGGAGCTCAAGCAAATTGATGACTTTTTGTATCTAGAGTCAGTTTCTGGTCCAGATACTTACAAAGGAGGTATAGTTGGAAGAGCTGTACCAAATTTACTAAGGATGAGGAAGAATAGAAACATCACCTTGAAAGCAAATAGCAGCCTTTAACACTGTGCAGACAACTGCTTTGTGGGTTGTGCTGGGTGAGGAGAGGCATGAAGCAGCTGAAGCAATCTTATAAAAGCTAATCAAGAATTCAAGTGATGGTATCAAATCTAATGACTCTGTACTGGGAGATAATTGTGACCAGAACACTGCTTACCACCACAGTTGGAAGAGGGAACATTAACATGAAGGAATGAAGCAGGGAAGACTAAGAGTATGGGGAAAATAAAGTGAGAAATAACTGGGCAAGAAGGTTAGCAAAGAACATGTAACTGCAAGTCAAGGCAGCTTATAAAGCCATGAGCCTGGGTCAAGGAGAGCTGAAAATGCTGCTGGTACTTTCCATACACACATTCTTATATATGGCTACATGTACATAGGTGTAAGATGAGGAAGTATTGCACTGCTGTGCATCTAACACGGCCTAGTCATTTACAAAGAACTCAATAAAAGTATTAAAAGCATCAAAGGTGAAAACAACAACTGATTAATCCCATCTGTCAGATCAGCTGAAGATTGTTGCTTTTGTCCTTTCTGGATCACAGGAGGTTTTACAGCTGCTGGAGATGCAAATCACTTACAGGAGTTCTGCATGTGACAGAAGGAAAAAGCAATTCCTGCCTCCTTGGGAGTGCTCCTGGGGCCCTCCAAGCAGCCAGAAATCCTGGATGCAGTTGTAGCATGGAACTGAATTTGCCCAGGCAAATATTTTTCCTCCCTGTGTTACACAAACCCCAATGTCGCTGCAGAAAGCTCCGTGTATTCATTTCCTACAAACCCCCCCTCCCAAAAGGTCTTGTTACAGTTCCAAAGCCTGCATGTGCTGTTGGAATAAAACAGTGTGTGTGTTTGTACCTCTGTGCTGTAGTTTAGTTTGTCTCTGCTTTGCCAAGCCCATGAATTGATGTGGAATGCAAAGAAGCAGGTGAGGAGCCTGTCCCCACTCTGCTGGTTCTCCCCTTTGCCCTCAGTGCTGGATTTGAGGGTTATTCAGTTAACATGAGGGCAGCTAGAGGAGGTCACTGAGAGATACGGAGAGCTTATGAGAGGCTATTAGATATGAGAGAAGAATTACACATTTAGTGGTACAATCTCACCTGATTTTGATTCCTCTGGTCTCTCGCTCATACCAGTTGTGGCTTTGTTCTGTCACTTTAGGAGTAGCTCTCTTTAGATCAGCTGAATTACATTGAATAGAATTCCTGCACAATCAGATCTGGGCCCAGTTTCACAGACTCACACAGTTGTTTGTTATTTGTTGAACTTCAGTCCAGTGTGACTTGTCTCCTTCAGCTTTGAAGCCTGAAAGGACACGGAGAGTGAAAGCCAACTGTCAGAGCTGTCCCATCCCATGTCACAGCGGGGTTACAAATTCCTACTGGGAAAGCTTAACCAAATGAGTCAGTCTCACTTTGACAGAACCCATGCTGGAGTAGCAGGGATGCATTGCAGAGGTTTTGCAGAGCTCTGTGTACACTTACAACTTCTAGCATAGACCCTCTGGGAGTGGAGAGGAGCAGCTAGAAACGGCTGCCTGTGCAGGTGTGTTTCACAAACACCACTTGCATCCAGCTTCAATCTGCTCCACACTGTTTGGGTGCCCAGATTTTACACTGCTGCTCAGCACAGGAGAAGAGGTTATGTATTGCCAAAGGACTCACCCTGACACTGCCACAGTGACTTAAGGCTGTGCTATACAGTGAGAACAAACTCTTCCTTGTTCTGTCATTGAAACCATGTTTGTACAGTACCTCTAAATCAGGAGCACCCCGAGGAGCTTCACAGTCAATGTTTATGCCAGCAGCATTGGTGTTGGCCTTATCGTGTTGGCAGCTCTCTACAGGCTGGAGAATGTTCTACCTGTTAGTACATTAGAAAGATTAAATATGTGAATGTGTTGCAATCTCTAAGCAAATACAGAAAGAAACAGAAGGGTCAGACTTTTAAACCTGCTGCACATAATAGAGACTACACCCACGGCTCAGGACTCAATTCAGACTTACACAACCATGGCCCAGGAACCTGCTGTGATCTCTACATATTACTTTGCTTTGGCAACAGGATTTAAGCACACTCTTCTTCTGCTCTGCTCCTAGGGGGGACTGGCTGCTGGGGTTTGTGTACAGAACCTCTTCTGCCCAGATCAATGTTGCAGGCCTCCAGCCGGTGGACCTGGATGACAGGAGGATGGTAAACATGGACCTTTCATCTGTAGTAAGTAACACTTCTGATTTTCTCAGTGTTTCCTTTGCTTGCAGCACTGCAACCTCACAGTCATTGGTTAGGGGAGGATGGGGTCCTGAAGGGAGCACCTCTGTGTGCTTCCCTTCCCTTGCTCAGCTCACACTTCACTATAGATTTTGTTGCCCAGCCAGCACTCAATACGGAGCAAAATAATGAGAATCTGCCTTTCTTTTTGGGTTATGTTTGGGATTTTTTGGTAGTGAAATATCTCATCCTGGAGGCAGAAAATGTCATCATCTCCAAGAAAGACCTGGGACTTGACAATGTCTTGTCAAGAAAGACCTTGTGCCTACATGCCAGAGAGGGCATATAGGGTAGGATCAGCAGCTGGGAAACCTGCAGCCTTGTCTTGGTGCAGCCTTCAACACCATTCAGGTCCACACAGGGACAAGTCCATAGACCATGTACCTGGGTGCCCTGGGCTGCCCTGGTGCTGTGGTGCAGGAACCAGTCTGTAACTGGAGCAGCTCTGTGAGATCAGTGACCAGTTTGGTAGGTCCAGACCTGGGCTGTGGCTTTGTTGGAGTGGAGGTCTCCAGGAAACAGGAGGAGGTTCACCCGTGTGCCTGGTACACATCAGCTTCCTCAAAGCCCTCTGGTGTCAGTAATGAAAAGCCACTGGATTGCATGTCCAGCAATATTCAACTCAATTACCTTAAGCAAACTGATGCTCTCATTGCCTTGTCTCCACTGACGAGTGAGCTCTTCCACAGAAAATCATGCAGAACTTCCTTGGTTATCCATATTCACAGTAATCTTGGACATGCAGTTCTTGTTTTGCCACATCTTCATGCTTTAATTCATTTTTCACTCTGCAAACTGGACTGGAAGGTGCTCAGTTTGCTTCCATGGTCATTGATCAGCCACGACTCCTCCTGAATGTCCCCATTGTCACCGCTGCTCTGGAGCCAAAGGCACTTTTAAGTGCTTTCAGATTTGTTGGAGCACCAGCCTGCTGAGCCTATAAATACACAACCGTTACCAGCTCTTTTCATTCATTATAACTGAGCCATGGCCAGCCCTTGCCAGAAAATATGGGACTTAATGCTCTACAGATCAAATAGAGACTGCGGAAAAAACTAGAGGCTTCCCAGAAGGAAGTGCTGTAGCAGAGGCTTTTATACACGATCCAGCACTGAAACTGTTCTTGTATCTTTGCATCTCACTGGGTTTTCTGGTTTTCCATTTCCACATGTGCCCACAGGCAATTTCTTCCCCATCCCCAGAGTTGCCATTAGTCACTTGTGAGCAGTGACATCTGTTGCTGGCATGAAAAGAAGAATGGTCAAAGCTGTCAAACAGTGTTGGCTCTGGGCTGCCTCCTGCCAGCTCAGCCCTTGTTACTCTCCTCTTTTTGACTTCTCTTCAGAAATCCTCTTTCTGTTGACTTTCTGCTGCCTGAACTTTGAATTCCCCCGAGTCCTGCAGCCTCCCTCCTGCCTGGCTGCCAGCAGCGCCCCCAGTGTCCCCAGAGCTGCAGCAGTTACGGTTCAGCTGAGTGAATAAGCGTGCAGAGCTGCTGCCTGCTCATCTGCCGCTGCTGCGCACCAGTACCCGCGCTGCGTGGTGCCAGCCGACAGCCCAGCTCTGCTCTCCCTTCCGAAGGAGCTGACGCTTCCACTTGCTTCATCTCACTGCAAAGCACTGGGGATGGAGGCGGCCCCCGCAGGGGGAAAAGCCTCTCTTGAGTAGGTGTCGTTGTCTTGATCCATTTTCCAGACCATGGAGCTTTATGAAAAGAATTACAGAGCATCCTGATGAACGTTTGACAAGTGAAAGGAGCGAGAACTGGGAAGGGAACGCTCGGGGGCAATATGTTTTAAAGCAAAGATGGATTTTGCTGCAAATACGGCGCAGAGAGATTTTCTACACTGGAGACTGGCTCCATCCCTGCGGATGCCTTTGGAGGATCCCATCCCCAGGAGTGTCCTGCCAGGAATAAGAAAGGACAAGCTGTGCCAGAGTAACAAAGCATAGGTGATGCAAAGGTGCTCAGTGTAAAACTATTATGCAGGCAGCCCCAGTGGTTTAGGCACCTCCCAGTCCATCTGTGATGAAAACTGGGCTGGATCCAAAGAGCTTGGTTCTCTTTGCTTCAGAATCCTCATATAGGTGGAGGACTGAGAGATCTCAGTATAAACAGGACTAAGAGATTCCAATATAAACAGGAATTCACCTCCAAGGCATTTATTGCATGTCTCTCTTGATTAGTATGGTTTTTATCTGGCTGTCAGTAAAAAAACAGAGAGAAAACTGTCCTCCCACTCAGCAAATGCAGTTATAAAACCTTCCTAATGGTTACAATGGGGCTGATTTATCCCCTAGATTTATTTGACAGCACCTGTTACAGAGACCAAGGAAGCAGTTGTGCTGTGGTGGGTTAGATTGATTGCTGCTTGTTCAGATGGGCTGTTGGAGATTACACTGCATGAACATCTGCACACTGCAGAGCTGCTCCAGTCAGAGCACAGGCCGTGTGTGCTCACACAGGTTCACACGTCAAGAACAGGGGCTTCAGTTTCTCTGGGCAGTTTTACTGCTGCAGAAACCAGGAGTGGACTTGGAAGCAAAGGGGCAGGAGGAATGTGCAGTGGGAAGTCCAGCAGAGAGCATGGACGGGCCATGATGCCTTCCAGTGTCTGAAGGGGGCTACAGGGATGCTGGAGAGGGACTCTGCATCAGGGACTGGAGTGACAGGACAAGGGGTGATGGGTTCAAACTGAAACAGGGGAAGTTCAGGTCAGATCTAAGGCAGAAGCTCTTCCCTGTGAGGGTGCTGAGGCGCTGGCACAGGGTGCCCAGAGAAGCTGTGGCTGCCCCATCCCTGGCAGTGTTCAAGGCCAGGTTGGACACAGGGGCTTGGAGCAACGTGCTCTAGTGGAAGGTGTCCCTGCCCGTGGCAGGGGTTGGAACTGAAGGAGCTTTAAGGTCCCTTCAACCCAAACCAGGCTGTGGTTCTGTGACAGCTGTTGCAGAGTCAGTACCGTTCTCTCGTCAGTCCACTGTGAAAACTGTCTTAAAGATCTTTACACTATGATGAAGTCCTTCCTTTCCCATGCTTCCAATGGCACATAAATTCTGCTTTTCTTATGCTCCATCAACACACGTGGAGCCTGCCCTGGCCCTGCGAACGGAGAGAGCTGTGTGGTGTCTGCAGGTGTCTCTGATCACCACTCCTCAGACACAGTGATCTCTGTCCCCTGCCCTCTCCACCCAGCACTGCTCCATCGCTGTGGAGAGCAGCATCACAGCTCACCTCATCACCAGGGAGGGGGCTGCAGCCTCAGGGGTGGCATCACTTGTTTTCAAAGCTCCCATAAACTGACCTGTGTCTTTATGGCTCTTACTGCACCCAACGGAAAGACTTGAGTTGGAATTTTAATAGCCCATTATGCTCAATGACATTCCTGGTCCTTTGAGGTGGATTTGAACTATGAAAACCTTTCCAAAGTACCGAACTGACGGCTCCTTCCAGCTGACTGCTGGATCCACCTGAGCAGAGCTATCACCTGCAGTCCTTTGGAGATCTGGCAGGGCAGTGCTGTAGTCCCACAGCAGAATTCGTGATACAGGCAGCTTGTGCTTGCCAGTAAGTCAAAGCAACCATAAAATCAGATACCAGAGGGGTAGAAGTCGCTGATGCATGCTGATAAACCCACCCCACTGCTTGCATTTCCTTATAACGAGCATAAATGTATTTGCTTTGGTTACAAGACCAATATTCTATTCCATTTGTTCTGGAATTCCTCTTGCCCTTTGTTCTGACAGATTATCCAAACAACTTTTTATTTCCTTGTAATGCTTTTATTGTTCCTTGCAACGTTTTCAATGTTCCCATCCCATCTCCAGCGCAGCCGACCCAGCAGAGGAATTCAGCACATGAAAACAGGCTTTTGGGAGAGGGAATCACTACATTTTCCCACCAGGATGGCTGCACAGCTTGAAAGCAGCAAGGAAATGTGTTTGCTGTTCTTTTGCTGATGGCTCAGTACTTAACGTCACAGTACAGTGTTTGGCACATATATTCTATAGCAGAGAAAGAGTCCTACCTCCTCTTAATGCTTCTCAGGGCTTGCCTTGGTCTGGCTGTGTGGAATCCAACCCTGGGCATCCTGGAGACAGATTTGAGCTTCCTTTCAAGACACTGAGTTGTAGTAGCAGAGCTGAGCATGGGACAGGCTTTCAGGAGGCCTCAGCTGCTCTTTTAGCTGCACAGGGAAGGTTCAGCTCTTCAGAACCACTTGTACCCAGCATCTCTCAGTGATGATGGTGCTCGAGGAAGAGGAATTCCCCATCGGGTTAGTGGAAGCTGCTGGATGCTGAGGAGTTCTGGAAGTCTCATCCTTAGGGGGGCAGAGATTTGTGCTCCCTGACTAATAACTAGAGAACACAACAGGTTGAGAAACTCCCCAGTGCTGACCAGGGCAGGTAGATGGTGACTGTAGAGGTTTCAGAACACACAAACCAAGAGACTTCCCAACCCCTCCCAATAAGCCCATTTCCTTCTTGTTTCTCTCCGCCTTGTCCAACACTGCTCGTTTCTCTCTGTAGCTCCAAGCCTCCCTGTTGAGTAGTAAAAGGCTCAGACTTGTTCAGAGAACAAGGCACACAACAGCCAGTCCATTAGCCCTTCAATGGGTATTTTAATTAACTAATCTGTTCAAAACAGCCAGAGCCTGTTGAGCCATCTGGGCTGGTTCAAGTCACATATTGCATTACTAATGTGCTGATTAAAAACTTCTCTTTGCTCCAAGTCCCAAGTGCATCCAAATGTTACCACTCAAAAGCTGCTTCGTGCAAACAGCTCCGAGGCTTGAATTCCACCCATGCAGGAAAGGAGGCTTCTTTTAGGCTTAGGTCAAGGTGTGCTGCTAAGCCTGGCTGCTGGCTTAGCAAGGAAGGAGCCAGGCTAGCAGGGAGGGAGCAGGCTGGGTGTCTTTGCAGCCCCTTCCTGGGAAGCAGGAAACCTGGGAATGTGGTGTTGGGTATTTCCTGCTGTGGAAATTCTCTATTTCCTAGCAATATTTGGGAAAAGAGGAGGTGGTGTTGCCCAAGAGAGCTTTCTGCCTGGGTCAGGAATGGTTTAAACTGTTAGAAATTGAATTTACCAGAGATGCTTAAATATCTTAGTGTGCAAATCATACCTTGTATAGGACACCTGAAACAGAGAAGGCAGCTTCTGCCTTCAGCCTGTTGGCCTTTAGCATCCAACAATAATCATAGAATCCCAGCCTGGTTTGGGCTGAAGGGACCTTGAGATCATCCAGTTCCAACCCCTGCCACGGGCAGGGACACCTTCCACTAGAGCAGGTTGCTCCAAGCCCCTGTGGCCAACCTGGCCTTGAACACTGCCAGGGATGGGGCAGCCACAGCTTCTCTGGGCACCCTGTGCCACCCTCAGCACACTCATAGTGGAGTATAATCACCTGCAGAGGAGGTTCTCTCTCCTTCTTGTGTCCTGCCTGGAATGGAGCACTCCAGCCTCCATCTCAGAAGGGTTTATCTTATCATGGAAATCACCCACAATAAAACTGTGTGCGTCTGTGTATTGTTGACTTTAATTTGGCTCAGGCCAACCTCAGGCTCCCAGTTTCCTCTGGTGTGGGCCAGGTCACTGTGCCTTCCAGCCAAGAACCTTTAACACACTTGGTAGTTGCTGTGAGATTTAATGACTCTGTTCCAATTAAGATAATCTTTGCTTTTAGGGACCTACGGCACAACGAGGACACGTGATTTAGCAGAGAGCAGGGAGCTGAACTAGGACAGCTTGTCTGGGTGTCTCTGCCCATGGCAGGTTATGCTTTTGTGGTACCCAGAATCTGTGGGTTTGTAACTCCGCAACATCCAAGCACTTAAACACACCCCCCTTAGAGGAAAACTAAGCCAGGAGCAGCGTGTGCCTCGCAGGGAGCAGCCAGCTCAGGTTACTGATGGGCACCAGCACTTTTCAGACCTCTTTCTTTCAGCCTTTCAGAGCTAAACCCAAGTCTGACGATGCGGTGGCTTCTGAGCTGAAGGACTCCACTGAGCGCGGCATCCCGCAGCTTCCCCACTAACAGGACTCTTGTTGCCTGCAGGTCAGCGGCCACCTGGACTACATGAAGCAAATGGACACGATCCTCAAAGCTGTGGGCATTAAAACCAAGGAACAGAAGGGCAGTGGCAGCCTCTCCTCCCCTCCAGCCAGGAAATCCCAGCAGGCCGCGGGCAGTGGGACTTGGGAAGAGGAAGGCACTGGGCAGGAGGAGGAGGAGGATGCGAGTGAGGCTGGCCCAGCCAGTGCTCGCTGCCCAGATTCCCCCAGCCCTGTCTTGGGAGGAACCAAGGAACAGGCAGCAGGTGAAGGAGCACGTTAGAGCTCTTTGTGCTGGGCAGAGATGCTCAACCAGCACTAAACCCGCTTCCAAAGCACCAGCTGCTGCACTGGCATTCCCAAAGGAATATCGGTAGCGCGGGCAGAGCTGCATCTGCAGGTTTCAGAACCTGGAGCGTGGCACCAGCGTGGCACTGGATCAAAGCCTGTGGAGCAGCTGCCCACAGCATCTCCCACGGACGAGATCGGGCTGATTCCTGCCCAAATCATCCCTGCTCCTCAGGAAGCACTGCCCTCTTTGCACAACCTGGGCTCATCCTGGAGGGAAGCAGCTCTCCCCATCAGAGCCTGTGTCTCTGCTGTGTAACTCTGGGGAAAGAGGTGGCTCTGTGGGTATTTTTAAGCATATTGTGGAGAGGGGCTCTAGGAAATGAAAACCACTTTTGGTGGTTGATTTGGCTTTTGGTTCTCAAGTGAGCTGGTGCATTGCAGGCTCTGGTGTCCAGCCACATCTCAGTGCCCACACTTCGGCTCTGCTGAGCAGGGAGGCGAAGGGCTGGGGCTGCCTGGCTCCTATCCCTGTCTGCTGTGGGTTTGCTGCCCGGGCTTGGGCACTTCCCCATCAACAAGACTGTTTCCCTGTCTGCAAGCTGAGGGCAGTGAGTGCTCGAGGTGGAGACACACTTGGAGACCCCAGGTGACACGCAGCAGAGCGGGCTGGTTGTGATTTATTACTCTGTAAAACCTCCTCCCAGGCTTTGCAAGCCAGCAACCCACAACATCCTTTGTGTCCCACACACTTCTCCAGCCATAAAAGCCCCCTCTAGGCATGTTTTTCATTGGCTTAGAATAAAACCAATACTTGGCATAGGATGAATCTGTTTGATTTCTACCTCCTTCCATAAGAGCTAATTGGCATCCACTTTCCTCTCCCCCAGTCTCACACCAGAGGGAGGGACCCCACTTTACATCCCCCACCACACAGAGCCTTCCAAAACCTTGTGGGACTGATCCACATCTTCCATCTTTTCTGGCCTGTTTTGCTCCTGAGCCCGAGAAAATGCATCTACCAGGAACAGGGCAGGAGGAGAAACCCCCTTGTGCAGAAACACCTCCAGATCTGAAAGGTCTCCTTGACTCACGAGAGGGGAAATAGTGCGGTTGCAGCTTCCCATTTCGGCTCACACCGAGTCCTTCTCCTCCCTCCGTGCCCCAGCAGCTACCTTAATAACCACCTTCCCTTCCCTCCCCGAGCTTTCTGCACACCTTACCTGCAGATGCCTTCTCCTGAAGTCCAGAGTGTGGCTGTTTTGGGGTCTGACACTGGCTTTTCCTCTCCCCACATCCTGCTGCTGAGGGGGCTCGTGCTGCTCAGCGCTGATTCCGGAGCAGGGCCTTGGAGACATCCCAAGCACTGGGAGCCCCCAGGGACCAGCCCGTTTTGCAGGTCAGTGTTGCTGCTCTTGGCTGCAGCAAAGGGCTGTGATTCCTCCATGGCTTCAGAAGGTTTGTCCACAAGCAAACACCTTATTACAAAGAACTGGCTCGAAGAGAGTCGTGTTATTGCTTTTGAACATTTGGCTTGAAGAAGTGGTCTCGCTCCATCCGTCTCCCACAGCCTGTGCCTGCTGATCCGGCCACCTCACACACTTCACCGTGTGTTTTCCAGCTCCTTTTGCACTGGAGTTACAGTCAAAGTGTGTTCATACGTGAAGTCATTTATGGGCAGATGCACTCACTTCTCTTCCTGCTCGAAACCAAACCCCATCTGTCCACAGGTAGGTACCAAAAATGCATGAACCATTGTGCTGTTTGGACCCGGGCTCTGTCCTCTGCTTGTCACAGTCACTCAGCACTGGCCCTGGGGGGATTTAGAGCAAATAAATGTGGATTTCTTCATAACAACCACTTGTTGTTCAGTTCTGGAACATACGTGGGTGATGTGGAAAGAAAACCAATGGGATTTGCTTGGTGTGTGGTGGCTTCTTCCAGCATCCGGTCCCGCAGGGATGCTTTGTCGGGATAACAGTGGGTTCTGGGAGTGCAAACTCCTTCGTGTGAGCTTGGAAACAGGCAGCAGCCTTGTAGGGTACGAGTCCAGGGGGGCAGCAACCAGCCCCCAACCCATCACTGCATCAGAAAGGCACTTGAGGAGGGATTTGCTCAAAGCGTTCGTTGGGTTATTACTCTTTTTAAGTGCCCACTTGCTGCATTAGTCACTTTTCTCTCCGCTTCTGGCTGCGGACGGGCTGGAACTGTTATTTAAAGGACAATGTTTGGTTAGATTTTCATTTCAAAGGGAATAAATAAGTCTATTTTTTAACCACATCATCTAAAAATTGACGGACTGTCAAAGTATGATGGACACGTGCCAAAAATAGGAAGCTGTGGGCTGCAATCCAAAGGGAAGCTTATCTCCTGTCAGGATACCCACAGAGCCACAAACAAGGCGAACACCCACACCTTGCTGAGGAGCCAGAAAGTGGTGCTGAACATTGTGCATCACATTTAACCCCCATTGTGCAGTTTGTGATGAAACACGTCGGTTTCAGTGTGCTGCTGCTCACTGCAGCACAGATACAGTCCAAATCAGGCGAGGGGATTAAGCTCCAAGAAGATGGGATGTTCCGTGGCCTGAAATATTCCCAAACCTCTTGGCCACGGGTCATGGGATGCTGTTTCCGCTGTTGCTCTCAGTGTATTTGGTCATCCACCGAGCTGTGGGAATGGGAGATGAAAGCCAGGCCTTGGTTTAACTTCAAGGAGATGTTGGCTGGTGGAAGATGTGGTGTCCAAGGTTCAGACTAACCAGAAAAGGCCACAAGAACAGCTCTCAGAGAGGGGCAATGGCTTGGTGACGGTGAGCAAAGGCGGGATGGGAAGAGAGAAGAACAAGGCAGGTCCATTCAGCAGTGAAACAGGGCTCGGCACGGACCCCTCTCAGGCCACGGGGGTGCCGAG